TATGAGGCAGGTGGTTTTTCCATAGTATCTGTGAAAGCAGTGGTGAGAAGGCCTGAGCATTTGTTTCTTCTTTCTCCAGTCTAGCTCTTTTCCACTATTACATGGTTGTGTATTTTGTTTTAAACTGTTAGCTCTGGTTTTAAAAAGTGAATTGGAAAAAAGCTAATAGGGGTAGAATTCTTAAATTCTTGGACTAGTGCTCTCTGATACAGATCAAGCTTGACAACAAATGCTTGAAAATGCCTGCCAGGGCTGGAGAGATGCTCCAGTATGTAGAGCATGTACTGCTCTGAGGGAGGACCGGAGTTGGCTCCCAGCACCACGTCAGGCGGCTCACAGCCTTCTGCAACTCCAGCTCAGGACTGTCCGATGCCCCTGGCTGTCTCGGTGGGCATCTGCACTCATAGGCCTGTGTCCATACATGCACATTCATAGTTAAAAACAATAACAGGAAATCTTAAAAGAAAAGCTCTCTTCTGCAGGTTCAAATTGAAGCGGGGGGGACAAACCATTTATTTCTGCACACTTTGTTCAATGCTTGCAGTGAGATGGCTGTGTAAAAATGAAGGTTGACATCAAGCAAATTCATTTTAATAAGTTTAGTGAGCTATTGGCCCATAAACTGTATACAGGCTTGAATCTTTTATAGTCATAAAAATATAACTTGGTAAATTACATCACCAACTGGATCTAACAGCTTGCTAAAGCAAGCCTGTTCCTAATGCAGTTCTGAAGTAAATGAATAACAGGCTATCACCTCTTAATATCTTTAAAAATAATGACTTTTTGTAAAGGCCATTTTTTGATGACATTAAATGTATTAATCCATAAGGATGTGGATTTACCTTCTTTGCATTATTACTAAAGTTTTCAGGTTTTGCATGTTTTCTGCTATTTATTGTCCATTTGGTCATTTGAGGAATACATGTAACAATCTCTAGGAAGTTGCAGAGGTGGACAGCCAGCATCTCAAGGTCCTGTCTGTTTTAATAGGTACCAAAATTCTTACGTTATCTCGCCTCCTAAGACAGGGCTGCGTCATGCTTTCTGTCTATTGTGAGTGATGTCACAGGGCCTTTCAAAATATTAATGTCTGTTTTAAACTTTGATGCAGAGAATCTTAAAGTGACTGATAAATTGTCAAATCACAAGAGCAAATGAGTTAGCTTGTACTGTCCGACCTCTGCAGTGTAGAGAGAGCTAAGATCTGAGGGCATCTGTAACACCCTTTAATTCCCACCATTAACCCGTGAGAGGCATTATTACCCCAGTTTTGTAGATTTGGAATTTGAGGGTGGGTTTAACTTGTTTTGAAGTACCAGGAACTATTTCAGTGCTAGCAATAGAAGGGAGAAGGACTTTGGCTTTGAGCTGAGGCTAATTTCACTTTCCCTCCATCTCCAGCCACCCCTGCCTCCTCCTCCCTCAGCATTTGCTGCAGTTTTTCTTCTAAGAGACCTCAAGGTCCTTCCTACCGTCTCCAGTCCTCACATCTTTCCCCACCTCCCTTCAGGCTAGCTGATTGACTGGGGTCTGAGTCAGGTATTTGCCTCCTAGGGATCTTGATAATTTAATCTGGAATGCTAAATAGTTCCAGTAAATGTGGTCATTGTTGAGTATTGCTTCTGTACTGGATAGTTCTGTAAGGTTTCTCGTGAATTCTGTGACAAACTGCTCCAGCGGCAAAGGTTAAGTTACCCAGAATCACTTGGAAGGGATGTATAGAGTTTCCTTGTGGGCCTCTGTGCGAGGGAAGACAGCCTTTGGGTGGTGAAATGAGAGTGCAAGCAGTGTAGCTGGTTGTGCTGTTGATGTTTTCCAAATGTAGTCTTTCAGAGTCTGTCTGTAGAGCCTTGCCTGTGCTGGAACCGCTGTAGAGAGCAGGCTGGCTCCAATCTCACAGAGATCCTCATCTTCTTCCTCCTGGGTGGGTGCTGGGATTAAAGGCATAGAGCATAGTGGCTGGCCTTTTTTTTTTTTTTTTTTCTTATGGAAGTTGAGTGGGAGAACTGGGAGCCACCTGTTGGAACTGGGAAGGCTTCACTGAGGTGGCCTCAGAGGAGCTAAAATACGAATAAGTCTGTGCTTGTGGGACTGGAAAATGTGGTTGGTGTTTCGGAGACATGGAGATGTGAGATGACCGTACTAGAGAGTTCGTTATAGTCACAATACGGACAAGATCAGCTCCGGAGGGCAATAGAGGCGATACCAATAATAATACCTATCACTTTCACCAAGCGCTTTATATTAGTTTTCTCCCTCAATTTTTGAGTTACCGCAAGATGTGAGTATGGTTCCTTTTCTCATTTTACATACAGTGATACTAAGTTACCTCTTACTGGTTATGTGACTTGTCCAGGATCACAGCTGATAGCACTTGTCTAGGGCCACACACTAGCGAAAGCAGAACCTAGCTCATTGTCCCAGAGAGCCAGGCTGCAGCCTCTGGTTTTTAACCACCTCACTATGTGGAGAGGTCAGGCTGCGGTAGGGAAATGGCTTACGAAGGAGTTGAAAGTTTATTCACTACAGCAGCGGTCATTTGTGGACTCACACCCTCATGGAACTGTGTATTATAGAGTGACTCAGTGTGTGTGTGTGTGTGTGTGTGTGTGTGTGTGTGTGCGCGCGCGCGCTACTGTAAAGGGTAAACTGAAGAAAAACATGTATAAAGCAGTAATTTTGCTTTGTATTAGGTATGCATAATTTCTTTTCGTCTTAAGAAGTACCATTAGAGTCTCTTTCAAGATTTTGCAACTGAAGAAGTCACAGTTTGAAAAAAAAACACCAAAACCAAAAACCACACCATTGTTTGTCAGTAGACAAGTTGCTGCAGATATAAAGTCGGAGAACCACTTGATCAAGTTTATGCTTCTACGTGGGTCATGCTGGCTTCAGTGTGCAGGGTGGATAGTGAGGACGGGACCACAGGGATAGAAGGCAATAAAGGGTCAACCAGTTCAGCGAATCCAGGAGAGCTGGTTGAACTAGGACATTAGCTAGAGATAGGATGCACAGAATAGAGAGATGCAAGTAGGGAGGAGAGTGCTTCTATACATAGAAGTAATGGCTCCATCCGTCTGCCCAGCTCTTAGCCAACACTGGGTTGAGGGCAGTTTAATTCAAGGTCTGATTTTGTTCCTCAGGCACAAAGATTATTTCTTGATCTTTGAAATTTCCTTTTCTATATGCTTATTAAATAGGCTTCGCTGTGTTCTTTTCTGTGCTTGTAATTTTGTATTAAAATATGCTGTTGTGCTTTTATTACTTCAAGCTACTTTTACATTTGTATATCAAATTAGATGCCTACCTTCTCACGTCCCTGCCTCCCCTCTCCTCGCCATAGAATTCAGGAGATTTTCTCAGCAGTCTGAGAAGGCACACACAGCATGAAGAACACTCAGGAAATCCCTGCACAAAGACTGCATTCTCTGTGCTGCACGCTTCCCAGAGCTCTGAGCACTCGCCCTTTGCATTATGCTCATCAGAGGAGGACTTTTGAGTAATTTTCTCTGACTTAGTTCTTTCTGGTTTTCCATTTTTGTCGTGTGTGTTGACTCAGAGCTTTTTAATGGCCTTAAGTTTTGATTCCCTTAAGGATCTATTGAGCCTTGTATGGTAATGGTCTTGTCTTTTTTATCTTTTCCTTTAATTTTTTTTTTTTTGAATTGGCAGGTAAAAATCATACCTGTGCCTGTTTAAGGGAAGCTGTTATGGAATGTTTTGGTTTGTGTACACATTGTGTGATGTTCAAATAAGTAAACATATCTATCTCCTTAAACATCTGTTTTCACATTGGGAGAACATTCAAATTCAGCACATGGTTGTCTAGTGTCTCCGTGCATAGAATGCCATTTCTCCTGAGGTAGGCATTCCAAAGCATGAGTGTTTTTCTTAGTAAAATTTTACCCATTTTCCTTTCTACATTAGAAATGTAAATACAGGGGATTCCTGGTTCTTCCACTGCCCCCATTGCTTGTGAAACTAAGATGAAAACAATTAGCTTGGAGCCGTTTGTGTAGATTCTGGTCTTCTACAAATGTGGCATCTATTCCTTCTGTAACTGTGACCGTCTTTCAGACACATTGTGGCATCTCTACGGAAGAGGCCGGGCTTGTGATGCCGTCGGTGGGACCTGGAATCTTCGGAGAAAGGATAGCTGTCCCATCAGGCTAATTATTGCTAGTTTTCTGAGCTACTTAAATGAAGAGGCGCTAAGTGTGTGTATGTTTGTGTGTTTTCCACTAAAAATAAAGTAATTGAATATGCCATGTGGTATAAAAGTCAGAAGTGTGAATTCTCTTTGAACCTGCATTTGATCTTGGACAGACATTTAACCTCTTTGTTCTTAATGTTTTTGTCAGTTAAGTAAGAACACTCAATCAAGTGAATTGTAAGAGCTTATTTTGTTTATTATTTATGTGTGTTCACATGTTTGTGTGTGTGTGAGATGAGCATGCATGCTGGGATTAAGGTACCACTGTATTTGGTTGCATATTTTTAAAATATTTTATTTTTTTATATGTGTGTGTCTCTGTGAGTGTATGCCACCTGTGTATGGGTGCCCATGGAGGCCAGAAGATGGCATCAGCCCCCCTGGAACTGGAATACAGGTGGTGAGCCTTCTGATGTGGGTACTGGGACCCCACTGGTCCTCTGTAAGACCAGCATGCAGTACTCACTCCTAACTTCTGAGCTGTCTCTCTTGTCTCATCTTTTATAACTCTTACAAGTGACCTTTGTTTCATTATGTGGCTTCATTAGAGTTGAACATCCAGGTTTCATTCTTACCGTGAGGTCAGGAGCTTGAAGTAAGACAACAACTGTCTAGTTCTTCATTGTGACAGTTTCCGTAATTTCCTCTGATGCCTTGATCAATGATTTATCCTGCAGTCATCCCCTCTAAAGAGTCATTTATGGCTGTACTTCCATCTTTCTTCTCTGTGTTTGCCATCGGCCTCCTTCTCCTTTCATTCTTTTTAATCCAAACTATTGCGAGGATGGCAGAAGAGGTATGGATATGTTGGGGAGCCAAGAGTTGGGAGAAGGTCCAAGCAGTCAAAGTTGGAGTCCAGTGGTAGGATTATGCTAGTAAATTAGTTCTAAATTGTGGCATACTGGCCTGAAGCAAGATGCTTCTCCTCTCCTTTGTGTTCCATTAGTGGAGAGTGTAGCAGGAATACCTTAGTGTGTGGTTAGTTGTTCACGATATTCATGTACTGACAACAGTCATAGCATTGGTGGGCATCTAGAAGCCTGTAATGTCTTCCAGTTCCACGAACAGAGCCAGAGTACAGTGTTGAAAGCCTAGATAGTCCATCACTTTTGGATGGATGAGTCAGTGAGTTAAACAATCCCAGAGACCATTGTCTAAATCCTTTGGCTCCAGGGGCAATGCAGTTAGCTATAGATCATCTTGTTCTCTGCCAGACATTACAGTGATGGAATGACTTCTGATTCATGCAACAGTGGATCATCTTGAAGGAGTTTGCATTATGCTGAGGCAGGCAAGGCTGTAAAAAGGCTATGCAGCCGTCGTAGTCAGGTGGTGGTGGTGAATGCCTTTAATCCCAGCACTCCAGAGGCAGAGACAGGCAGAATCACAAATCACAAAATCTGTGAGTTTGAGGTCAGCCTGGTCTACGGAGTGAGATCCAGACAGCCAGAGCTACATAGAAAACCCTGCATTGAAACAAACAGACAAAAACAATTGGTGCAGTAGGACAGCATGTGTGAGACCTTGAGTTCTATCCCCAGGACCACACACAAAAAGGAAAGAGTTGCACTGAAATCGCTCCCTGGCCTGTGTTGGTGGGAGCTGGGCTCTGCAGAAGACGAGAGGGAACTCTTTGACGAGGCTCTTTCTGCTCCAGGTTCCTCTCTCCATGTATTTCTAAGGTGACAGAGTTTTGCAGGTGTTTGTTTGGGAGTTAACCTTCTGCCCCCACCATAGCAACATCTTTGCGCTGTCAGGACCCTGCTAGCTGCCATGAAGCGGTCTGTGGCACGTGGCCAACTGTGATAGAAATCCATTTTTAGCTTTTAAAACAGAATTCAGATAGCAGCGTACTTTAAAGAAGTATCTTTAAAGATAGGTTAAATATGGTGGGAACAGTAAAAACCTAATGAGGATGTTAAAGCTACCAGAGTTCTCACTACTGCTACTTCAACCACTACTGCTTCTCCTCTTCCTCCTCCTCTTCTCTTCTTCCTCTACTTCTTCCTCTATCTCTTCCTCCTCCTCTTCTCCTTCTCTTCTTTCTTCTCCTCGTCCTCCTTCTTTTCTTTTTTCTCCTCTTCCTCCTCTCCTTTCTCCTCCTTCTTTTCTTTCTCTTCTTCTTCTTCACAGAAAAAAAATCCTAGCTCATGCCGGCTTGTCTTGGTTGGTCGTTTCCTCCTGCTCCTCTTTCATGATCTGTAAGTGCCAGTGGTGGAAGGAAGCTTTTATGTACGGATGAAAAGGAATTTTCTGGTCAGCAGTGGCTGCTGATTTTTTTTTTTTTAATCCAAGGGTGTGTATTCACATGCCTAAGGTTTTTATTTTATCTTTAAATCCCAAAGAAAGTAAAATCTTAAATAAATTTTCAGATCTGTAGCTCTGACCTAAGTCTGAAAACAAGATGTTTCCTAAGTATAGTCGAGGTGGTAAGGCAGAAATGTTAGTGTAACACATTGCAGAACTTTTAGGTATTGATTTATTTAGTGGAGAACTGAACAGTGCTTTCTTTAATTTTAATATCTCATTCTGCATTGGTCTTTGATTCAGAATGAATTATAATTCTCAGCGTGGTCAAATCCCATGAAGTCGGGTGAGCTTGAAATATGTAATGACTTTCTTTCGAGTGATTGCTAGAGCGTGTGGCAGCAACGGAGGAGAAAAAAGGAGCTATAATCGTTTGTTTTTTTTTAAAACTTTTTTGCCTAAGATGAGTATTTTGGTAAGATGAGGTGCAGTGATGGGCTGAGGCCCATGAGTTATAGGTCAAAAGGTCACATCACAGCCAATACCAGAAAATCACCACAGAAGGACAGGTTAGCTCATCAAGGACTCACCTGGAAAGACCTGTCACAGGAGGGGACTTCCTAGGAGTGTCCATTGTAAGGGGATTCCATCATACTTGGCTGATCCCCTCAGAGCCCCCCACCTCAGTCTTGTTTCCTGTCTCTTTCCCAGAAGTAGCATTCTTTGGGTGGTGTTTCCCATCCAGCGCATGGTTAACCATTTATTGTGTCTGTGCACTTCTGCAAACTGCACAGTCTTATAAACATGCTTTCTAACTAGTTAGAAATAATTAAATAAAACCATATTTAGGGGGTTTTACACTGTGTGTCTTTCTCCAGTTTATTCTCTTTGCATAACACTTTGAAAATAGTTAGCCGAGGGTCGGCCTGCTGATGCAGTGGGTAAGGGTGCCTGCCTTCAATCCTGAACACCTGAGTTCGACCCACAGGACCCACTTGGAGAGCCAGTCTCTCCGGGCTGTCCTCTGACCCCTACCTGCACCGCCCCCAAATAAATAAAAGTAATACAGAATAAAACTATGTTTAGCTAATACATTGTCAGGTTCATTCATTTTAATTTTAGCATTATTTTATGTGTTTGGGTATTTTGTCTTCATGTTTGTCTGTGTACCGTGGGCATGCCTTTTGCCCTTGAAGGCTAGAAGACAGCATCTGGTTTCTTGGAATAGATGGTTATGAGCCAAGGTTGCTGTGGTGCTGGGAATCAAACCCAGGTCCTCTGGAAGATCAGCTAGTGCTGCTAACTGCTGAGCCATCTCTCCAGCTCCCAGTTCATTTGTTCTTAGGTGCTCCATGGCATTTCTATCTCTGATCTCTATATATGAGCATCCCCCTGCTAACCGAGTGTCTTTTTCATTGCGTATTGTGAGGAGCAGAAATCTATTACGCCATTTTTAAAGTTAGACTAGGAATGCTGTTTTGCCTTTGAAGAAAAGCTAATCTCCTTTTTTGGTGCGCAGTGTCCTCATTGATCATATTCCTGGGAAAGCCCTTTGTACTTCCCCCAGAGAAGGCGGAGAGGAGTAATGTCTCATCACACAGATGAATACGTCCTGTGCAAAGCGCAGAATAGCATCTGCTGTGAGAGCGAGCTCACAAGGGACGGGGCTGCTGTGGGAGAACTTGCTTTACTCCAGTGAAATCGGCAGGTTTTTCCGCTGCAGACAGGCTGTGGCTGGAAACTTGTTGGCATCAACTTGTTGTTTCTCTGTGTCTGGGGTAATCTGCAGTGCGCAGACGATGCTTTATTCTGTAAAAGGATACGATGCCTTTTATGGTAAAAGAAAAAAGATTGTTGTGAAATTGTGGCATGGCTTTATGGAGCTGAAGACATACAAGTACTAGAAAGGACGAGAGGGACTCCTTTGTGAGATTGTTGGTGTGAAATATCCATCTGTTTTAATGATGAGTCTTAGGTTCTTACTTTACAGTCCCTATTTTAAGGAGCAATCTTGGGTACTTTTTTTATCCTCTTAATCTCATGCTGTTGTTTTCTGTTTGCAGACTCCAGGCTAATGGTTTGAGCATTTTTACAGAGCCCACAGTGCAGAGCTTCATTCAGGTTGTCCCTCCAGATGATTTGCTGTGCAGTGCATTAACCAGAAATGCTGAGACAGCAAGGGAAACACTAATAAATGGGATGCTTTCCAGGGATGGTCGCTAACGCAAGGCAAGCACAGCCAAAATCAAGAAGAAATTGTTACTTAGGCACTCAAGATGTAGTCTGGCCAGATACGCTATTAACAGTGAGTAGCCAATTGTAATTAAACTAATTGGGACCTGAGCAATTTGAACTGCCAGATTGTCTGTTAAAAAGAGTAAGCAATTTTAATGCATCTTAAAATTAAAGACTGTGAAGGGTGGAAATGGTATACATTCAATACTTGTGTGAAATTCTCACTAGATAAATACATTAAAAAATAGAAGGGTCATGCAAGTTTAACATAAACTTACTTAGAATGAAAAAATTACATTTGCCTGTGAAGAAAGTGTAAGCTCCAGAGGCTCAGGGGTGTCAGAGCATGGCTTGCCTGTGTGTTTCTTCCATGATCTGAGAACCAGTGTGCAATGGACTGCTGGTGAAGGGAGTGGTCTGTCTGTTTGTCTTGTTTTTAGGAGGCAAATGACTGACTGACAGAACGACTGTTTTGTTTTTCCCTGTCACTCCTTTTCTGATAAACACACTTTGAAGAACCCAGGTGTAGGGTATTTATGCATGGGGAGAGGAATTCCCGACATGTAAAGACCCCTTTTATTGGTGTTCTTGGTATTAGTAATCTCCAGTCACCCCTGCTCCAAAGAGTTTTGTGGCTAGGCCAATGACGCGTGTCTGTTTTTCAAAAGTTTCAATTTGCTTATTCATTTTATGGATATGGGCGTTTTGTCTGCATGTGTGTCTATGCATCACTTGCATACCTGGTGCCCTGCAGAGGCCAGAAGAGTGTGTTGGATCCCCTGAGACTGAAGTTACAGATAAGCCGCCATGCGAATGCTGAGAATTGAACCCAGGTCCTCTTGAAGGGCAGCCTGTGCTCTTGACCGCTCAGCTATCGCTCCAGCTCCGTGCTTTTAAGTGTACCCAGATTCCTGAGTCTTATGAGTAAGCGTGGCTTCTCTGAAGTATTGGTTGTTAGAATCCACTTTCATTAGAAACGTGTTTCTTCATTGTTTATTAGAGTTCTCTGTTTCATCTCTATATTCTGAAGCACAGAAGAGAGTGAAAAACATTCCCCAAAAGTGTTAGTTTGTGGGTCGCTGCTTCAGATTCCCGATTCTTCCATCTGTGTGAGTTTTCCATGTGATAATAGATGAGTTAATACTTCATTTCTCGGAAAGGTTTCTTCCAATCTGGACTTGTTCCAGGAATGCTCTCAGGAGGGCTAGAACTCTTGGCGTTCTAGGCTGAAGTAGCCATGCTAGCAGGTCAGGGCCTTCACCTTTGACATTGACCTTACTTTTCTCTGTTCCTTTAGGTCTTTCATGGCCATTCCTTCAGTGGCTGGCAAGATCCCCACCTCACCCTCCATGTTCCCTGCAGGTGGCATCTTAGCTGCTAGAGTGTGGAGCTGGCCTATGGGAGCCAAGTAAGTGCCTTTTTTACTATTTGGCATGGATTTTGCTTACTTGGCAAAGCCATGTAGAGAAACTTCATAAAATGAGTTTTTAAAAAGGCACTTGCTTGATCTTGGTGGGCCAGCTGTGCTCCAGCCTGCTCCCAAACACCTGCTAGCTAACCTGGGGCTGAACTTAGAAAGGTGACTCTTACAGAATGGATTAGTTTTGCTAGGATAGACACAAAGGGAAGATAGAGCTGATCTTGGCCCACACATCCACGCTGGTGAGCAACTTTTGTCCCATCCCCAAATAAATCAGAACGGTTAGGTCAAGTAGTAATTACTATAGTTATCTGCCGACGTCGTGGTTTATGGAGGACCGTGAGTCTGCAGCTCTAAAGGGACTGCATAAAAACACAATAGGTCTTCCAGGAAAGCCAGTGACCTTGGCATTTATCTGAACTAGTTGATTAACAAGTAGAAGGAATAAGGTTGACACTGATCAGACTTGGGTTTCTGTGTTTATTGCTTAAGTTGCTAAAACCTGGTATTTTACTTTTGCAGGTCATCATGTAAATTTTGCCTATATTAATTAACACATCCCGTTCTGCCATAACAACCATGTAAGGGAGAGTGTTTTCCTGCTCTGTCTTTAGGTATTGGTGACGTGACCAGTTCACGCAGGGGAAACTTGAACATTCGCAGGTATGTGGAGATCCTGATTCCTCCCTGCAAGTGAAACGGTTTGTCTTAGTGAGAATTTGTGATGTAGTGTTGCAAAACTCTGTCTTTCCAGTGGCTTTTCCTGCTCCACTGTGAAGCACTGTGAAGGAGACGGGCAAACTATAGCCCGCACTGCTGCTTGTTTTTACAAATAAAATTTTATCTAAACACAAGTCCACTCATTTCTATATGCATCTCCCCTCGTATAACAGAATTGAGTTGTTACCACAGAGACTGTAGGATTCCATAAATTAACATAATTATTATTTGGCTTTTTAGTAAGAAGCTTGTCAGCTTCCGCTTTAAATACATAAAGTTGCTATGACCTCAACTGATTTCAAAGCTCCTAGAATTAAACCAAGGAAGCCTAGGCCTATGTCAGGATACTGCGGCCACAAGTAAGTATGTGCAGTACACAGAGAGATTACTTTGTCGTTTGAGGGACATGCTTTGAGACAGGGTCTCCTGTAGCTCAGGCTGGCCTTGAACACTATGTAGCTGGGGACGATTTTAAGCTTTTGATCCTCTTGCCTCTACCTCCCAAGTGCTAGGACTGCGGATATGAGACGCCACACCTGGTTTATGTGGTAGTAGGACTAGACCCCACAAATTTGTGCATGCCAGACAAGCACTCCCCAAACTGAGCTCATGTAGCAGGGTGGGTTCTAATACAAAGTATTAGTATCATGGATATCCAACTTAATCTTTCCTTTCATTTATCCCCCACCCCCGCTGTGTGTGTGTGTGTGTGTGTGTGTGTGTGTGTGTGTGTGTGTGTAGGCATTCATTCAATGGCAAGATGTCATCGTTTAGATTCTCTAAATGTTTTGCAGAACGGAGAGTAAAGCTTTAGCTAGGATAATTTGCACAGGCAAGAAGTGAGAATGAAGGACCTCTTGGTGAGTGGGAGAGATACTATAGTTGATCGTAGACTTGAGATCATGGTCTTGAGGACTAGCGATGCTCAAGGTCACAGAGTGGTACTAACTGGTGGTAGAGCTGAATGAGGCCAGGTCTCTTGACTTTCGACCCAGGTTCCTTTCCCTGGATCTTCCATTATGGTAGTGGAGTGTTCTTTAGTACCAGAAAACTTGTCTACTTCTTCTCCTTTCTTCCCTATGTAAGCAAGGACTTGATGACTGTAAACTACTGAGATGTGCTTTTTGGAATGTTAGCTCTGATCGGAGGTTTGAGTCATTATTGCTAGAAGATTATTAGAGGCTTGCTTCTTAATGAATTATTAAATGCCTGTAGTGTAAAGTCGGGAAGGTTGGAGTAGAGGGGATGGAAAAGAAAGGCTTATTCGTATCTTTATAGCAAGGCACAAAGCCAATATTGCTGTAGATAGAAGTGTCCCATGTTTGTCTGTGTGCTTAAGCTCACTGATGGAAAGTGTGTATATGTGTGTGTGTGTATGCACAGGCATCTAAAGCTCTTAAAATGTATCCTGAAAGAAGTTCCGCAGGTGTTTTACAACATGCAGATGATGTTTCAAGTAGACATTTAAAATTTATTTTTTTAGCACAATTTTAGATTTGCAGACAAATCTAAATTCCTATATATTTCTCATTTCCTATATACTCTCTCTCCTCCCATTTTTCTTTTTATTGACTTTTTACACAGCTATGGCACATTTCCTGTAACTAATGAACCAGTCTTGGTCTTTCTCTACTGAAGTCCATATTTTATCCAGTTTCCCCATTTCCCCCCCTTTTTTTATGTTCTAGAATTGTGCATTGGGAAGGCAATAAATGAATTTTTATTAGCATGGTCATTGAGGTGGAAGCTGTTTATATAGTCTCCTGGAAATTAGGCTAGTTCTGAAATGCCTTTCACTTTCTAGATGTTTAGAAACCGGTGTAGAGTCTTGGTCCAACTGCCACTGCTCTGAGCTGCAACATTGATGCTCTGTTGTAGCGCACAGAAGTTACTTCCCAGTAACAGTGGCACTGCACTAGTTTGTTCCTAACTTTTAGCAACACCAATTCTGAAGAACGGAGACTCTTGAGTTATTCTACTAAGTATCCTGTGCTACAGTTGCTCCTGAAAATACCATAAAGTAACAACCTCCAAGGGCTGCATGGGCCAGCTCTCCTCCTTCAGTCAGTCTCCCAGGACAGAGTGGGCCAGCTATCCTCCTTCCATACCCTCTGCCTACTGAAAGCAACTCTGAAGTTATACCTTCCACAGTCCTCTGCTCAGCTCACTAAGCTGCCGAAGCGAGTTCGCACCTTTTCGGAATCATCAGTCTAACTCACATTTTACCACAAAGGGTTTGACAGTTTTCTTCCTTGAAAGTTTTCCAGCTGCTTACCTAAGTTGAGCATGTGCAAGCCCTATGGTACGGCAGTTCCACTCTTGGATTTATGCATAATAGAATTGTGTGCCCATGGTCACTAAAGTAAATGGACAGACGTGTTCATGCCAAATGAATAGGCCACACCAGAATTTTCCAAGTGGTTATCAATAGTAGCATGGGCAAATAAGTTGTGACATAAGTGCCCAAGAAAATATTAGATAGTGCTCAGAATAAAGAAACTGAAGCTATGTGCAAAAATAAATAAATAAATAAATAAATAAATAGTATCTTACAAATCTGCTGTTGAATGAAGGGAACCACTCACCAGTATTACAGCTTTGTTTGCATCAGTTTCAAAAGTAGGTAAACAAATGTGTGTGTCAAAACTACGAGGTCGACCCTGTCTTGAAAAACCAAAACCAAGCAACCAAACAAACAAACAAAACCAACCCTACGAGGTCGATTATCCCGTGAGGGTTTGGAGCGGTGTTTCTGTGACTGTGAACTTCTGGAGTGCTGGTAGTGCTCCCAGTCTCCTGCTGGTCCTGTTCACAGGTGTGTCATCCTGTGAAAGACAATGGAGGGTTCAGACTTTCCATGTGACTGGCATTCTGCAAAAAAAAAACCCTAAACAGTTTAAAAGGTGTTAACTGTTCTAAAAGCACCTCAGAATTTCTCTGCGGATATTTAAGGGCTATGTGGAGAACAAGTGGGATGAATTGCCCTCACAGCTTAGAACACATGGGGAGGGACTATCGGGCTGTGGAGGATGCATCTGTGTTGCTGGGGTTGATGCCATCTTATTTCCTCTTTGTATTAGAAGTCAAGATGTTAATAGACTTTGTTTTCTTTCTTAACTATTTCCAGGTTTGAGGGGCCCTCAGAGGAGAGCATCTTTTCTTCTTGATCTGTGTTAAGTAGAGTCACCGATTCACAGTGCTCCCCAGCTCTTTTATACTAGCGGCTGATAAGTCAAGGTGTAACTTGGATTCATTAGGATGTTCGTGTGGTGGTGTGCTCTCCTTCCCACTGACTGCCCCAGTTAGATGTGTGAGTCCTGCCTCTCAGCCTCTACACCTGCTCTTTTGACTTCAACGTATCACTTTACACCTAACTAGAGTCCTCTTCCCAAATGGAGGCGTTTTGTGGTTTTTCTTTCTGGTACCGTTGGCTTTCCAAGTTATTTGAGTTGAAATTAATCTTGACTTTCACCTTTCCTAATTACCCTTTTAAATTGTGGTAAAAATAGGGGCTGGAAAGATGACTCGGCTGTTAGGAGTACTGGCTGCTCTTTCAGAGGACCCAAGTTTGGTTCCCAGCCACTTATTGTGATGACTTACAACAGTCCTTAAGTCTGGTTCCGGAGGAGCTGATGCCCTTTTCTAACCGTTGTAGGCACCAGTCATGCAGATAGTATACATACATAGATGCAAGGCAAAAGCACTCGTACACATAAAGTAAATTTCAAAAGAATAAATTGTGGTAAAATATGTTCAATATAGATTGAGCATTTTAACTTTTTAAAAAAGTGTCTAGTTTAGTATCTCACCCTTTTGTGTGATAGCTAGATCCTAGTTGGAGTTGGCTTTCTCTACCTCTTTATCTTTTTTTCTTCCTAGCAGCACCTCCTTCTTGTTTAGGTTCCTGTCACATGACTGGACTTCTACTGCATAGGTCCCAACTCCAGTGTTTCCCCTATAATTAGTCCATTTTATGGCTTCCCACAGATTGGCCTCCCGGATACTTTAGTGGTGGCCCTGGGGTAGATTCCTTTACATTACTTGCCATGCACATGGCCCTGGGTTCCATCTCTAACACCACAAATACAAGTATGTAAATGAACCCATTGAACCTTACTACCTCATTTTCCATTTTACTTTGGTTTGCTACTACCTATAAAATTCAGTACAGATTCCCCTTAGCCTGAAGTTCCACGACCTTCTATAATTGAATTTCAATCTATTTTCATCTTTAATGATATTAGTTTTGATAAGTAGTGACTAATTAGTAATTTTTATAATGATATTTTGTTACTATATTTTTATTCTTGGAAGTCTTTTGAAGTAGGTACAAGATTGCCATTATTGAGGAAAATGGGCAGGAGGTGTCTAGTAATTTGTCCAGACTTGGGAATAATGGAATTAGGAGTTCAAATACATGTTCACATATTTCATAGTTGTAACCTCTGTCTCCCTATAACCTGCCTTCTACCTTAAAAGAAAAAAAGAAGAAAAGATATCACTGTGTTGCCTAGGCTGGCGGCAATTCCCCATTCTCTCTCTCAGCTGGGTTTACATAAGCATTGCACCCAGCTCCTCCCCAAGTGCTGGATGCCTTGAATAGGGTACTCCCTACATACTAGCTGTTGTACCCCCTTTCTCTTGGCCTCTCACTTTGCAGAGCCACTGGTTAGCTCCTTTCTTCCCTCTTACCATCTCACTTTCCAGCCTTCAAAACATAGGCTAAGTCCTGGATGACTAAGAGTTTCTTCCCCTAATCTCTAGCTGATAGAATACTCATTATATTAATTAATATGCATATATTATTACTCATTTATTAATACTAATATATTAAACACTCATTAATACTTGTATTTTAGTAGTATATTATATATGATGCTCAAATACTGTGTACTCCCATTGTTTTGAGTCCTTTGTTGTTTCTGTTGTTTGTTTCGTGTTGA